CAAAAAGGAAAAGTCGTATGAAAATGAAATTGCATATTTAAGATTTTTATAAGCATTCGATGTTACAGCAGTATTTTCGTCAAAATCGGCTAAACTGAAGTGGTACTTTATATAGTCGATTTAACACATTTTTACGATTTTCTCAAAAACGGCTAAAACGATTTTGATTAAACTCAGTACATCAGTGTATTATTAAGCAGTTATTAATGTGATGTAGGTTTTATTCTCATTGATGTTCTCTAACAGGGCTTAAATGGCTAATTTTCAATATTGGCTTTCTCTAAAGTAATTTTTTTAAATTTGAAATAATTAACCATTTCACATTAATCTTTGATATAAAATATAGTTAAATATAAAATAATTTATTAATTAATTGAAGGAGAAATAAGAGATCGTAACGGATAATAGTTGCAATTGAGGAACCAAAGGAATACGAGCTTTCCCGAGCTCGCCCGAAAGATTACAACAATATCCATACCTAACATGAACTTTATATAATATGGATTTGGACAATATTATGTTCATATACATATACGGTTTCATAAATGCTATAGTTGGTATTATTTAATATTTAATTGTACATAATACAGTGATATAAAAATATAAATTTGTATATATAACGGTAATTAAACAAATAAAAATACCCACAATGAATTATAAATAAATGTAATGTCAATAATTTTTATTTTCATTTCCCCTTTTTTCTGAAAATACTTATTCTGCTAAGAAGAGGGTGGTAAGTGAAAATCGTGTGATTCGCGCACCAGATTATTTTGTTTAATAGCTATTGATGAGTTTTAGTGCTGTCAACAAAAATTTTGGGATATTTTAAGACTTTTTACTGTACAAAAATTGAGCCGCCTCTCTCATAGGCACAACCATGGTTACGTAACATTTATTGGTTTTGCTCGAAGGTTTATGTTAAGTTTAAAGTTAATATAATACCGAATCCCAAAATATAATTTTAAAAAAGTTCAAATACTTAACATAAAAAAGTTAAACATTCATAAATTACGAAGTATTTTTTTTTTTAGCTTTAGTTGAAATTTTTTCACCATTGGAATTCATGACACGGTTCAAGGTCAAAGAAAAAATTTTGTCTCTTTCCTAGCAGAAAAATAAAATTAAAAAAACAAAAAAAAAGTGTTATTGTTATATTATTATAAGGATAAGTAGCCAGTAAAAATTTAGCAATAAAAAAAAAGTGTTTTATCAGCACTTAAACAAAACGTACTCCAAAATCAATAAAATAATCAAATGATTCCAATATTTATAAGTGATTTTTTATTTTTTTTTAAATGACGAAAATGTGTAACCTTTGATATAAATTAAAAATAATGTTAATTTTTTTACTGTCCACAGTTTTTTAGAATATACATTTTATAAATAAGTTATGAATTTTATAATTAAAAGAATGTGAGGATAATAATGTCACAACAGTTATATAAAAAAATATAGTCATATGGTTTATATAATAATGATTACAGATAAATATTTCGACTTGAAAATGGGCGAAAATGCCTGAAACGTCCTAGAGAAAATTAAAATGAATTAAAGCATGGAGTAGAGGTGTAAAGATGAGATAAAGCGATTTTCCGGGAAATTATAAATTTTATTAATTATATATGCTCTTGAAAATTTAGAAGATTTAATAATAAAAATTAAATTAAAAAAAAACAAAAAATGTGTTATTGTTAGATAATTATAAGGATAAGTAGATAGTAAAAATTAACAATAAAAAAAAATAGTGTTTTCTCAGCATTTAAACAAAAAGTACTCCAACATCAATAAAACAATCAAATGATTAAAATATTTCTAAGTGATTTTTTATTTATTTTATTAATTAATTTAAATTGAATAGGCATTAAATAAAATCATAATGAATTTATCTTATTCCTCTTATCTTCCTTTTGTAACAATGAATAATTCTGTAAACAATTTGAACGATGAATAATTCTCTAAACAACTGAAATTATCTGTCAATTATCAAGGACGCAAATCCGTCCCCACGATAAATATAAGCAGATGTGCTCCAATCTATATATTATCATAGACCAAATAGAAATATTGCATTAATGTTTGCGAAGCTCAAAGAAAGAATCTATTGTAAAAAAAAAGTATTTCCTTTTTTTTTTTTTACAAACAATTGATAGATTCCAGGACTTGAAATAAAATATTAACTTTTATTTTTTAACAATTTTGGTATGATTGGAATCATAATTTATTTATTTCGGAACTTGAAATAACGTAGTACCGTAGATAATTTTCATATAAAGATTTTACTAAACTTTTATTTAATAGTTATGTTGATTTCACCAAAACGTCTATTTAGAAAATGACTTTTATTCACAGCTACTCCAACAAACGGCACATTAGGAAACTAATGGATCCAGAATATAATTTTTTTTTTTCGGAAGATGGCTTCATCCTACAACATTATATATATATATATATATATAACGATAATTACTAATTAGAAGAAAAAGAAAGAAAATAACTACCTTTATAAAACGGTGTTTAAGTGGTTCTTGAAGTCCAATTAAACATAAATAACACGAACAATAATACTTTTAGAGATAATTTCTTAATTTTTTTTCATAAGACATGGTTATATTCTATAATTTTGGAGGTGGGAGGGGGGAGGGCTTCAGACTACAAGTCTCTCTACCTGTGCATTAGGATAAAGAAATCCAATCAAGACAAACTATAACTCTAACCTAAGCTCAATTAGTTATTATATTTAATTTAAAATAATTTTATATTAAGAACTTAAATAAATAAAAGTTTTTTTCAAAAACACTAAAACTTTATTATAAAAAAAGTACCTTAGAATATTTATTTAAAAAAAAATCATAAAAATTCATACAGAAACTGTTTAAATGGGACTTCTTAAAAACGCCCGATAAACGTTTCAACCCCTGATTGATTCATTGATTTAAACATTTATTATGCTCAAATATTAGAGACAATTACAAATAAAAATGTTGTTAGATAACTGCTGAGTACGAAATGCTTAAATGATTGCTAATTGAAAAATCGATTAATTTTAAAGAATTGAATTTCTTTATAAGTATTTATTGTAAAAAAAATATTTCACATGACTTTTTATTCAAATTATTTATCAATTTATTACTTTAAACATGTAATAATCATTAGAGCCAATCACACAAGTGTTTTCAGATAGTTAATATTAGTGAGAAATTCATCAATCTAAATAAATGTTATTAAATTTAAGTAAAATATATGAACATTTATTTTCACAATATTTTTAATAGTATTTAAAGCAATTATAACAAAAGTTTAAAGCAATTTTTTTTTAAATTTATTGGTATATATATGGATATAGCTAAAGAGAAGCAAGTACGAAATTTCATAATGATTGCTAATTGAAAAATCGAATAATTTTAAAGAATTGAATTTCTTTTTAAGAAATTTTTTGAGTACCTATTGTAAAAAAAATATTTCACATGATTTTTTATGCATATTATTTATCAATTTATTGCTTTGAACATGTTATAATCCGTAGAGTCAATCACACAAGTTTTTTCAAATAGCTAATATTAGTGAGAAATTCATTAATCAAAATAAATTTTATTAAATTTAAGTAAAATATATGAACATTTATTTTCTTACAATATTTTTAATACCATTTAAAAAAATTACAACTTAATTTTGAGCAATTTTTTTGTATAGATATATATCTATCTATATAGCTAAAGAGAAGCAAGTACGAAATGTCATAATGTTTGCTAATTGAAAAATCGAATAATTTTAAAGAATTGAATTTATTATTAAGAATCTGTTGTAAATTATTTATATTTTATATAAACAATTTATTTTTAGTACCATCAAAAAATTTAAAAGTAACTTTAACAATTTAATTTTGAACACTAATGCTTTTTTTTATGTCTCAACGGACCTAGCTAAAGAGATAAAACTAAAATATGAAATGAAATTATGATAGCTAATTGAAGAATCAATCAAATTTAAAGAATTTAATTTATTTTTAAGAATCTATTGTAAAAAAAAAAGTATTTTTTATTTATGCAAACAGTTTAAGATTTTATCACTCTAAACATCTAATAATCGGTAGAGCCAATCAAACAAGTGTTTTCAGATAGCTAATACTAGTGAGAAATTCATTAATCAAAATAAATTTTATTAAATTTAAGTAAAATATATGAACATTTATTTTCTTACAATATTTTTAATGCCATTTAAAAAAATTATGACAAAAGTTTAAAGGAAAACGTTAACAACTTAATTTTGAGCAATTTTTTTTTTTTTTTTTTTTTTTGTAGGTATATCTATGAATATAGCTAAAGCGAAGAAAATAAGAAATTTCATAATGTTTGCTAATTGAAAAATCGAATAATCTTAAAGAATTGAATTTATTTTTAAGAATCTATTGTAATAAAGTGTTTATTTTTTATGCAAAGAACTTATTTTTTGTAGCATAAAAAAATTTAAAAGTAACTTTAACTTAATTTTGAACACTAATGCTTTTTTTTTATATCTCAACGGACTAAAGAGATGAAACTAAAATACGAAATGAAATTATGATTGTTAGTTGAAGAATCAATCAAATTTAAATAATTTAATTTATTTTTAAGAATATATATTAAAGAAAGAGTATTTTTTTTTTTTTATGGAAACGATTTAAGAATTTAACATCTAATAATCGGTAGAGCCGATCACACAAGTTTTTTCAGATAGCTCATATTAGTGAGAAACTCATCAATCAAAATACAAAATAAATTTAAATAAAATATAAGAAAATTTATTATAGAATTTTTCTAAAATATTTTTCGTACCATAAAAACAAAATTATAATAAAAGTTTAACAACTTAATTTTTTTTTACACTTATACTTTTTTTTATCTCTATGGACTTAAAGTAAAGAGATGCAATTAAAGTAAGAAATGCCATTATGATAATTAATGAAAAAATCGATTAATTTTAAGTATACATCGTTAATGCGATAAGATATAATTCCTTACCTCATCATATCCTTGATATATAATTAAATAAACAAATCCATACAGCTCGATATTCTATTCTGGTTCTACGATCAACAAACTTGATGTAAACATACACACTCACACAAACACACCATCCAAACACAGCGCAAGAGCTCTACTATCGGCTTCTCATCTGATATCAAGGTCGCAGATTCACGTGATGGTTAGTCATCAACATGGCTGCCGGTGGACCAGATAGGCCTTCCAGTTAGAATTGCAACAATTCGTGTATATCTGCCGAATTTAATTATATATTAAACTACTATCTAGTTTAATGGTGTGTTGATTTTATTTAATTGTGAGTGATTTTTAAAAATATATACTTCCATTTTGAAGATAAGTAAAATCAGGTCAGTAAGGCAACAGGTCGAGAGAAACTTAATAAATATTATTTAACAACTCTTCTCTCTCTTACACAAGTACATAAATATGAAAAATAATTACAGTAAATAAACACTTCTAAAGGACATTTGATTTAAACAAAGTTTTTAAAAATATATCTGTTCTCGTACGGTTTTTTGAAGGACTACTACTTTTCCTAGACTCATAAAAGAAAAAAAAATATTAACATGAAAGTTATGTAACAAACAGTTGTAAAACCAGAAGAACTGGAAAAATTTCAGAAAAAAATTAATTCAGAGTGATCTAAGATAAATACTTAGTCCGAGAGTTTGAGACAAAATCCACATGCTTTGATGAAAACTTTAAAGGCATTTTTTTGAATGATTATAACATTTACATTTTAAAAAAAATGAGAGTTTGCCAGTCGGATCTTGTTACCTGTAAAAATGGCGAATGATTTTAAAAATATTACATCAGTAACTTAAAGATCGAAACGGAAAATTCATTGCAAAAAATGTGGTAAACGTTTTTAACTTGTATATATTGTTTAAGACATGTAAAAAAACAAATTGCTAACGCAGCTCACTAAAACTTTTTATAACTAAAAAATCCAGATATTTTTTTTATTTTTTCACCATTAACTTCTAAAAGGTGTATCGAAGAGGAAAACGTACGCTCTGAGAAATTAAAGAACGTTAAATTTTGCGTCGAATGAGTACCTAAACATAATAATTTGGTTAAGTGGTTTGGTCGATAGCTAGTGCTGACCAAATGAGAGACCAAGCAGAGTCTACGTCTTGCGCACTTAGTCTTGGTCTTGCGCAAGAGTCTCGCAGTTACCTATTAGCTTATTACTATAGAGATATTACTCTATTTTTTAAGATAAAATAAACCGAACTAAGTCCGAAGAAAACACTAGAAGAGTTATACCAATTTTTTACATAACGTAAATAAAATTGTCAAGTATTAGTAACTATTTTGCCTTTACAATCTATATGGATACGCCTCTCAGATGTACGGTGCGGCAAAAAAGACGCACTTACAAAAACTACAGTCTTTCCAATACAAAATTTTACGACTTATATCAGAAACTCCCTGGTACGTACGTTACATAGCGACTTATGACAACCTACTACAGACCAACACTCTCTTCTCTCGGTTTCATCTCAAACTACACGAACACACAAACAGACTTATAAACGGCATGGCCATGACTGACATACCCATTAGGAGACAAAAAAGGAGCTGGATGAGAGATCTCCTCACCTAAATCAAGGAAATAAATAACGACTAGGAAGAGGTGCTGCTAGGTACTATCCCTCCTTCCTGGTGCCTATAATGTCGATCCTTATTTATCACAACACATCTGCTGATTGTCAATGTTATGACAGTTGTGGATCAATAGTTGAAGAGAAAAAAAAAAATAGAGCTTCAAGAATCACTTAAACATCATTTCATAAAAGTGGTTAGTTTTATTTTCTTTCAAAGTAAATATCTGTGTATGTATATAAAAAAAAAAAATTAAATCCTGGATCCGTTACTCTTGGTTAAAATCAGCTGATTCCTAACCACCAGTTTGTATTTCAGAAATTACCTTCTACATAAAACTCACTAGTGTCATCATGTGGCGGATGTTGAGGGTTTCCACTTTGGTGAAAAAGTTCCCTTTTGGGAAATTCCAAAGTGGAAAAAAAAGAAAACAATTTTTATCATTCAAACTCTAATACGAGCACAAGTAAGTTTATTTTTTAAAGATAATATTCGTAAAAAAACATAATACGAGTACTTATATATAATGTAACGTAGTATTCTGTATATATTTGGACTTAGGGGTTTTCAAGTTTTTTAAATTTAAAAAATATATGATGGAAACATTGGTTATATACTCAACGTTAGAAGGTACTGGACGGGAGTCGTTCTCAATATAGAACAGGCTTTTATTCGAGTCTGGCACCCTGGGGTGCTTTACGAACTCCGTCAATTACTCTTTTTTATATTTTTAATATTAATCGCTCGTACCTAACAGACAGATGTTCCCACATTATACAGTAATTTATTAGAATTTCGAGCTCAAATTGTATAAAAAAAACTTACGAGATCTCATCGAATAATTTGAGTCTTCAAACTTAAAAATCGATTCAAACATTCGTTAAAAAATTTGTTACATAGCTTTTTACCAAATTGATGCATCTCATTCAATAACGGATCAGTGTTTGAGTTCAAATTGTTGCAAAACACTCAGGAAATCTGAACGAATAGTTTAAGATATCAAACTTAAAAATCGATCCAGCAATTCGCTTAAAAAGCCTATGTATCGCTTTTAGCTGACAACTCAAACACACAACCTGGTGTCGTTTGGTTCTTCGGTTAAAAACAGATTTATATGTAAACCATTTAGATTTAACGAGTAAATCAAACATCTAACATGAACTAATGTTTTAAATTAATCTGAATAATATAATTTATTATTAATCAAGACAAATCACTACATATAACTTCTACCCTTCGACGTAAAACTTGCCCTGCTGGGGGGGGGGGAGGGGAGTGTTTCCACAGCTTAAGGAGCTGTATCCCCAATAGCCAACATCTTCTCCAGAAATTCATTTCTATGGAAACTAACCTATGTTAAGCCTTTTTTGTAATTGTCCAAACCTCTGATCCCTAGGTGGCTACGCTTTCTACAAAGGAATGGTAGATCTTCTTTTTAGTTTCCAATCTTATTTCCTTACTCCATAGGGTTGAATTTATCGAATTTATTGTTCTTTTCCCTTTGTTTATTTTATGATCTATGTCAATTAGCTCATTACCTCCCTTTGAAGATAGCCAGTATCTTGAACTATCGACTGACATTGAGCGTCCAGTCATAAATTTCAAGGAGGTAAAATTGGAGCGTTGAAAACCATGCACTCTGTTTTATTTTTATTGATTTTCAGACCCCATCTGGAATACGTGTCTAGCAAATTCCTCATCATATAGCAAAACATCATCCGGATCCTATGCTATTATTACTTGATCATCGACAAACTGCACATTGTAGATGATATCATCCCTGATTTGAACACCCATTCCACCGCATGATCTTTTCCAGTCTTTAAGGGCTTGTTCTATATAAATTTTTAAATCAGGGGTGAAAGGCAACAGCCCTTTTTCAATCCTTTGTTAATGGGGAAGCTTTATAGACATTCTATCTCCTATTTTTATAGTCCTCGTTATATTTTTATAGACCTCTTGAATTGCTTTGATGAGGTATCTCTTAGTAGATGTGGCTTCCAAAGCCTTCTACAATTTTCCTAGAGGTACTGAATCGTAGGCTTTGTGTAAATCCACAAATATCATGTGAAGTTCACGGTCGTGGGCCATCTCCTTTTCATGATTTGAATTTAAACTTTTAAATTTTGTTTAACGAGTTGTTTGATTTTAGAAAAATTTAACACTAACTGTACTGTGTCTTCCTCGTTTTTAAGGATGTTTGATGTTGGGGGTGTGAGTCTGAAACTATTTAAATTCGAGATATTGGAAGAACATTCCTGAAAAATGTGACTAACTATAAGTGTGATATTACAGTATTAGCATTTTGGTGGTGACTGTTTGCTAATGAGATGTGAATAGGTTAAGCTAAAGAAAGTGGACACGCCCAAATATTTATATGACGTTCTGAGCTCATTCCTCAACGGCAGAACATTTACAGTTAGAATAAATAATATAAATTCAACCTTAAGACAAATCCATGCCGTCACCCCACAAGGTTCTGTTCTTTCTCCCATACTTTTTAACTTTTATGTTCACGACATTATCCAATCCACAAACACCTCCATAGCTACGTTTGCCGACGTTACAGCTGTCTTTTCCCAACACAATGGTATATTAATAGCCAGAAATACACTGCAGTCTTACCTAGTAAATCTAGAACAATATTTAAAAAAATGGATGATTTGTCTCAACACCGAAAAATGTACAGCAAAAATTTTTACTCTTAGACGTCCCTCAGACCCACCTGAACTGATTCTCAAAAATAAAGAACTAAAATGGAACCCAGCTAGTGAAGCAGTAAAATACCTCGGAGTTTATCTGGACCGCCGCCTTACGTGGAATTACCATATAAATAATAAACTGACCCAAACATACGCAAGGTTAGCAATGTTATATCCCATAGTAAATAGAAAATCTAGTTTAAAACCAGAGACAACTGTTCTTATTCATAAAACCATACTAAGACCCTTGCTAATGTACGGATGTGAAGTCTGGGGAGCCGCTTCAGCTACGAAAAGAAAAAAACTACAATCCTTTCAAAACAAGGTATTAAGAATTGCAGTAGATTCCCCCTGGTTCATAAGAAACGCTAAACTACATCGAGAACTAAAATTGGAAACAATAGATGAATTCATCAAAAAACGATTTAAAAAATTCCATACACAGCTACCAGCAGTTAAAGGTGCAGTGGCCTACAACTTAGGAAACCCAACCTCATCTCGAAGACTGAAGCCCAGACTGATCCAAGATATCATGTTATGAACAATTAATAATTTTCTCTTTATTAATTGTAATTATTCAATAATTATAATGTATAAATAGTTAGGGGTGTCTTTTGCAAAGACTATACCCCACCAGAACAAATTGTTAAAAATCATCAAATTGTTACAACAACCATGTAAGGCTCACCAGGCCGATCTGGTAATAAATAAATTTAAATAAAAAATGTGAATAGGTTAGATTGGTATGACCTATTCTTAGTCTGGTCAAGACAACCTTCTCTCTACTGATAAAACGATTTGATATTTACTA